TGTCATCGGCGTGACATAAGCGTACCGAGTTTTCAGTCGATACCGCATGGGAAGTGGGCTAATAGAATGTAGTATTGTCATCAGCGTGACATAGGTATACCGAGTTTTCAGTCGATACCGCATTGGGAAGTGGGCTAATAGAATGTAGTATTGTCATCAGCGTGACATAGGTATACCGAGTTTTCAGTCGATACCGCATGGGAAGTGGCTAATAGAATGTAGTATTGTCATCAGCGTGACATAGGTATACCGAGTTTTCAGTCGATACCGCATTGGGAAGTGTGTTGAAATTGAGTTACAAGATTTGAGGATACATCAACAACAACAACAACAGACAGAGTGATTTAGATGAAAGCGTGTAAAAATAAATTTTTGATTAAAAACTTTCGTGACTGCAGGGATTCATAGTCTTGGATCTTTTGGTAAAGTCACCACCGCGTAGAAGGGAAACAATAAAATAATAAAAATATAAAACAATAAAATTATTATTCTTGGTTCTTTTGGTAAAGTCACCACCACGTAGAAGGGAAACAATAAAATAATAAAAATATAAAACAATAAAATTATTATTCTTGGTTCTTTCGGTAAAGTCACCGCCACGTAGAAGGGAAACAATAAAATAATAAAAATATAAAACAATAAATTCTTGGTTCTTTCGGTAAAGTCACCACCACGTTAGAAGGGAAACAATAAAATAATAAAAATATAAAACAATAAAATTATTATTCTTGGTTCTTTCGGTAAAGTCACCACCACGTAGAAGGAAAACAATAAAATAATAAAAATATAAAACAATAGAATTATTGTAAAACAATAAAATTATTATTCTTGGTTCTTTAGGTAAGTCGCCATGTAGAAGGGAAACAATAAAATAATAAAAATATAAAACAATAAAATTATTATTCTTGGTTCTTTCGGTAAAGTCACTGCCACGTAGAAGGGAAACAATAAAATAATAAAATATAAAAACAATAGAATTATTATTCTTGGTTCTTTCGGTAAAGTCACCACCACGTAGAAGGGAAACAATAAAATAATAAAATATAAAACAATAAATTAATATTCTTGGTTCTTTCGGTAAAGTCACCACCACGTAGAAGGGAAACAATAAAATAATAAAAATATATTTTTTTATAATTTATTAAAATAATAAAAATACATTTTATTAAAATAAAAATATATTGATTAAAATAATAAAAATATTTAAAAATATCTTATTATTTTATAAAAAAAAATCACAAAAATATATATTTTTATAATTTCATTGAACCAAGAATTACGTGTGATAATAGTTGCGTTTGAGTTGTTACAGCCCGTGGGGGATCTGTGCGGCTGTGATAATTCCCACCACGTGAAGAAGCCGTCCGGTCGAACTGCTATATCGTCTGTGATGGCCAGCGAGCTTCTGAATAAGCAGCTTCACAGCAGCAGCAACAGCAGCAGCAGCAGTCCGTCGGGCTTGGCTTTGACGTCCACTGGGTAACAGAACAACAACAACAAAAAAATAGCAGCTCGAACAAAATAACCGAAGCTTCCGCGTAGCGTTTGCGCGAGCCCATTAAAGGATAACTCGGCACGTGCGAGAGTGAGCGAGTGAGTGAGGAGCCAGCCCCTTCTGTTGCCTTACACCCCGCTCACAATAAGCACAATGCACAGCAGGTAGGGAAACTTGTTCGCTCTGTTCCAATGGGTAGGGGGGGGGGAGCTTCTCTCTATGCACGCAAGCGACAGCAGCGAGAGCCGTGCAGACAAAAGATCACCACCACCACCACCACCCCCACCCGGTACAGCCTTGGCAGACGCTTGGGACAGGTTTCTGTCGGTAGCGAGTCCGCTGGATTGTCAATGAAGGCTACCGGCACTGTGGCTACACACACACACAGAGAGAGAGAGGGTGGGTGGGTGGGTGGCCAGCACCACCACCACCACGCCCGGCCGCCTTTGTCTCCCCCGAGTGGCGATGTTTACACCGCTACACTCAACAACAACAGACAGACAGCGAGTTAAATAAAAGCGTGTAGTAAAATTTTTATTGGAATCGTACAGAAATGTCATTTATAACACAGATCGGTGGAAAAAAATATTAATATTGATTTTAGTTGAGGATGATTTATTTTTTTACTTTTCGCAACAGCTGTTTTCATTGGAGGATGACAGGTGACCCTCTGCCTCCCCTTGACCCCACGTCCCTGGTTGGTGAGTGGGTGAGTGGGTGGGTGGGTGAGTGGGTGGGTGAGTGGGTGGGTGAGTGGGTGGGTGAGTGGGTGGGTGAGTGGGTGGGTGAGTGGGTGGGTGAGTGGGTGGGTGAGTGGGTGGGTGAGTGGGTGGGTGAGTGGGTGGGTGGGTGGGTTGGTGAGTGAAGAATTGGATGGGTGAGTGGATGGGTTGGTGGGTTGGTGTGTGGGCGAGTGGATGAGTGAGCGGATGGGTGAACAAAGTGGTTGGGTGAGTGGGTGAGTGGATGGGTGGCCAGCACCACCACCACCACCACCACGCCTGGCCGCCTTTGTCTCCCCCGAGTGGCGATTTTTGTACTGCTGCTACTACACACCGCTACACCGGCTACTCATTCGAAGCCCGAGTCTACCTGGGGGAGGCCAAGGAGCGGTTCAGACGGCCCTCATTGCCGGTGTTGGTGGCTGTGAGCGGGAATCGAACCCTGGCCTCTCGCCGGGTTCGCCGCCGCTGTTCGCTAATCGCGGCGCCACCGCTCCCAACAACAACAACATCAACCGCCATCCCGAGTGGCGGTGACGTCACCACGACGTCGCCTGCGCCAGGCTAGGTGCACCTTGAGGCCGCCACGTGAAGTGTCGAACGCCCGCTGGCAGGAGGTCACGGGGCAGACCCAGGTGCCACGGGTCGACTGACTGAGATGACTGGCTGATGCACCACCTGTGCCCCCTACTGTGCCAACTTGCTGTGCTTTAGCCACCCGGCGCTCCGCTCGTTGTTGTGGGCGTCACTCCTCCGCCCTCCGTTGTTGTTGGAGGGCGACTGCCTCCAACTGCCCAGCAGCGTCCTTCACGAGCCTCCTCCACAGAGGCCGATCTTGACACCGCTGGTAGCGGTCATCGGCAAGTCCACTCAGCTCCACGTCCTCCTGTACCACATCACTCCATCTCTTCTCTAGCTCGTGCCGCGCCCGTTTAGTGCCCTCAATCCGGCTGAACAAAAGCTGTTTCGGCATGCGGTGGCTGGGCATGCGGGCTACATGACCCAGCCATCGCAGCCTTGCCCGCCGGAGGAGCTCGCCGATGCAACTTTGTCCAGATCTTTCAAGGATTTGTGAGCTCCTCACACAATCCAGCCTGCAGGTTAAACCCAGGATGGATCGTAGGCAGGCCAGCCTAAATGTTTCTAACCGGCGAAGATGCTCCATTAGGGGGGGTCCACGTTTCGCAAGCGTAGAGAAGGGAGGGAATGATCGTGGCCGAGAAGACCTGAAGCTTAGTGTGGAGCGACAGACCAGGTAGCTTCCACACAGCGTTACGCAACCGATGAAAAGATATTGCCGCTCGACTGATTCGGAGTGAGACCTCTGCTGTTAAACTGGAGCCGGTCATGAGCACACTGCCCAGGTATGGGAAACTCTCCACTCTCTCCACAACTGGCCTATCATAAATTGGGAGTTGTGGGGGTGGAGTGTCCGATGGTACAAAATACCCAGGCAGGTGATTAGTTTTGGTGGGGCTGATGGTAAGGCCCCACCTCTTAGTGGCACGCTCCAGTCTCAGCAGCAGCGTCTCCAACTCCTCCTCTGAATGAGCGGCAATTACCAGATCATCGGCATACATAACGTGTATGAGACCAAAATGGAGCTCTTTGGCATCAACTCAATTCGCCGTGTTTGGAGGAGGAGGAATGCTGCCTATGACCCCAAGAACACCATCCCCACCGTCAAACATGGAGGTGGAAACATTGTGCTTTGGGGGTGTTTTTCTGCTAAGGGGACACGACAACTTCACCGCATCAAAGGGACGATGGACGGGGCCATGTACCGTCAAATCTTGGGTGAGAACCTCCTTCCCTCAGCCAGGGCATTGAAAATTGGTCGTGGATGGGTATTCCAGCATGACAATGACTCAAAACACACGGCCAAGGCAACCAAGGAGTGGCTCAAGAAGAAGCACATTAAGGTCCTGGAGTGGCCTAGCCAGTCTCCAGTACCTTAATCCCGTAGGAAATCTGTGGAGGGAGCTGAAGGTTCGAGTTGCCAAACGTCAGCCTCGAAACCTTAATGACTTGGAGAAGATCTGCAAAGAGGAGTGGGACAAAATCCCTCCTGAGATGTGTGCAAACCTGGTGGCCAACTACAAGAAACGTCTGACCTCTGTGATTGCCAACAAGGGTTTTGCACACCAAGTACTAAGTCATGTTTTGCAGAGGGGGTCAAATACTTATTTCCCCCTATTAAAATGCAAATCAATTTATAACATTATTGACGCGCGTTTTTCTGGAGTTTTGTTGCTATTCTGTCTCTCACTGTTCAAATAAACCTACCATTAAAATTATAGACTGATCACTTCTTTGTCAGTGGGCAAACGTACAAAATCAGCAGGGGATCAAATACTTATTTCCCTCACTGTACACACACATACACAGCCTGTGCCAATCACACACAATCTATACCACGGACACAGCCTGTAACAGACTATAGGGGCAAGTGCTGCTGTTAGTAGCGAGTAGCAGCAGCACCTGTGAAGGCTACCGGCACTGTGGCACACACACACAGAGAGAGTGTGGGTGGCTACCAGCACCACCACGCCCTGCCACCTTTATCTCCCCCGGGTCAACCCTGGGGATGATTGGTTGTGCGGGGGTGGTGTTCATTCTGCTTCCTAATGCGACGATTCACTCACTCACTCGCCACCCCTACGCCCCTCCCCCTTCACGTGTCCACCCCCCTCTCTGTCCACCCCCCTCCCCTGTGTACACCCCCCACCCCGTGTCCACCCCCCCCTCTCTGTCCACCCCCTCCCCCCCCTGTGTCACTCACCCACAGCTCTTGTTCATCGCAGGCTGAGACAGAACGCACAGGTAACGTGGGTGGGGGGGTGGGTGGGGTGGTGAGTGGGGTGGTGGGTGGGTGGGGGTGGTGGGTGGGGTGGTAGGTGGGTGGGGGTGGTGGGTGGCGGTGGTGAGTGGGGGTGGTGAGTGGGGGTGGTGGGTGGGGTGGTGAGTGGGGGTGGTGAGTGGGGGTGGTGGGTGGGGTGGTGGGTGGGGTGGTGAGTGGGTGGGTGGTGGGTGGGTGGGTGGTGGGTGGGTGGGTGGTGGGTGGGTGGTGGGTGGGTGGTGAGTGGATGGTGAGTGGGTGGTGAGTGGGTGGTGAGTGGGTGGGGTGGTGGGTGGGGTGGTGGGTGGGGTGGTGGGTGGGGTGGTGGGGTGGTGGGTGGGGTGGGGTGGGTGGGTGGTGAGTGGGGTGGTGGGTGGGGTGGTGGGTGGGGTGGTGGGTGGGGTGGTGGGTGGGGTGGTGGGTGGGGATGGTAGTGGCGGTGGTGATGGTGATGGTGGTGGTGGTGGTGATGGTGGCGGTGATTAGTGGTGATAGTGGTGATGGTGGCGGTGATTAGTGGTGATGATAATAATGCTGCTGCTGCTGCTGGTGGTGGTGGTAGCTGTACCCCGGGTGGGGTGGTGTTGATGGTGGTGGTGGTGATGGTGATGTTGATGGTGTTGGTGGTGTTGGTGGTGGTGTTGGTGGTGTTGGTGGTGATGTTGGTGGTGTTGAGCGGTGAGGAGCGGTGATGGTGGTGTTGGTGGTGTTGGTGGTGGTGGTGGTGTTGGTGGTGAGGAGCGGTGATGGTGGTGATGGTGATGGTGGTGATGGTGGTGGTGGTGTTGGTGGTGAGGAGCGGTGATGGTGGTGGTGGTGGTGATGGTGATGGTGGTGGTGATGGTGGTGGTGTTGGTGGTGGTGGTGTTGGTGGTGATGTTGACCTGTACGTCCGTGGCTGCGTCCCAGCGTCTCTCCGCTCGCCGCGCTTTGTCGCTCACCGCGAGTTTGGAGACCGCCGTGAGCTGGTGGTGAGCGCCCGCACCTACATCTACCAGGACGAACATCGCTGTGACCAGCACGTGGACACCTTCCTCAAGAGCATTGAGGCGGCAGGTCAGCCACTCGCCGACGCCATCATCATCATCACGATCATCATCACGATCATCACGATCATCATCGCCATCATCATCACGATCATCACCATCATCATCACCACCACCATCGCGATCATCATCACGATCATCATCGCCACCACGATCATCACCACCACCATCACGATCATCATCATCATCGCCACCATCACAATCATCATCATCGCCACCATCACGATCATCATCATCGCCACCATCACGATCATCATCATCATCGCCATCACCACCATCATCATCACGATCATCATCATCGCCACCATCACGATCATCATCATCGCCACCATCACGATCATCATCATCATCGCCACCATCACGATCATCATCATCGCCGCCACCACCACGATCATCATCACCACCATCACGATCATCATCACCACCATCACGATCATCTACATCACCATCACGATCATCACCACCACCATCACGATCATCACCACGATCACGATCATCATCATCACCACCACCATCACGATCATCACCACGATCACGATCATCATCATCATCATCACCACCACCATCACGATCATCATCATCACCACCACCATCACGATCATCACCACGATCACGATCATCATCACCACCACCATCACGATCATCATCATCACCACCACGATCATCATCATCACCACCACCATCACGATCATCACCACCACCATCACGATCATCATCACCACCATCACGATCATCATCATCACCATCACGATCATCATCATCACCATCACGATCATCATCATCACCGCCATCACGATCATTATCATCATCACCGCCATCACGATCATTATCATCACCACCATCACGATCATCATCACGATCATTATCATCACCACCATCACGATCATCATCACGATCATCACCATCACGATCATCATCACGATCATCATCACCACCACCATCACGATCATCATCACCACCATCACGATCACCATCACGATCATCATCGCCACCATCACGATCATCACCATCATCACGATCATCACCATCATCATCACCACCACCATCACGATCATCATCATCACCATCACGATCATCATCATCACCGCCACCATCACGATCATCATCATCACCGCCACCATCACGATCATCATCATCACTGCCACCATCACGATCATCATCACCATCACGATCATCATCATCACCACCATCACGATCATCATCACCACCACCACGATCATCACCACCACCACCATCATCATCACCAACACCACCATCATCACCATCATCACCAACACCACCACCATCATCACCAACACCACCACCATCATCACCAACACCACCATCACCATCACAAACACGATCCTCATCACCATCACGATCATCATCACTATCACGATCATCATCACCATCACGATCACGATCATCATCACGATCATCACCATCACGATCATCACCACCACCATCACGATCATCATCACCACCATCACCACCACCATCGCAATCATCATCACCACCACCATTGCGATCATCATCATCATGACCACCACCATTGCGATCATCATCATGACCACCACCATTGCGATCATCATCATCATGACCACCACCATTGCGATCATCATCATCATGACCACCACCATCGCGATCATCATCATCGCGACCACCACCATCGCGATCATCATCACCACCACCACCATCACCACGACCATCATCATCACAACCATCACTACCACTACCACCATCACCACCACCATCGTCACCATCACGATTATCACCACCACGGCCACCATCATTGCCACCGTGACCATCATCGACATCAACAACAACCGTCGCCGCCGTTCACCGCTAAGTGGCCTTGACGTCATTACAGCACTTGTGCCAGGCTGATGTTGATGGTGGTGGTGATGGTGGTGGTGATGATGGTGGTGGTGTTGATGGTGGTGATGATGGTGGTGGTGTTGATTGTGGTGATGATGATGATGGTGGTGTTGGTGTTGATGATGATGATGGTGACGGTGGTGATGATGTTGATGGTGGTGTTGTTTTTGGTGTTGGTGGTGTTGATGGTATTGATGGTGGTGATGGTGGTGGTGATGTTGATGGTGTTGATGTTGGTGATGGTGTTGATGGTGGCGATGGTGGTGATGTTGGTGATGTTGGTGATGTTGATGTTGGTGATGTTGATGGTGGTGATGGTGTTGATGGTGGCGATGGTGGTGATGTTGGTGATGGTGATGTTGATGATGGTGATGTTGGTGATGTTGATGGTGGTGATGTTGATGGTGGTGATGGTGGTGATGGTGATGATGATGTTGATGGTGGTGATGGTGGTGGTGATGTTGTTGGTGGTGATGGTGGTGATGATGATGTTGGTGATGTTGATTATGCTGATGTTGATGATGGTGGTGATGTTGATGGTGTTGATGTTGATGATGATGGTGGTGATGTTGACGTTGATGATGTTGCAGCTGACGCGTCTGGTGATGGTGGTGATGATGATGATGCTGGTGATGATGATGATGATGATGCTGGTGATGATGATGGTGTTGATGTAGCAGCTGACTCGACTGGTGATGATGATGTTGTTGATGTTGCAGCTGATGCGTCTGGTGATGATGGTGATGATGATGATGATGCTGGTGATGATGATGTTGATGTTGCAGCTGACGTGACTGGTGATGGTGGTGATGTTGATGATGCTGGTGATGGTGATGATGTTGTTGATGTTGTTGATGTTGCAGCTGACGTGACTGGTGATGGTGGTGATGTTGATGTTGATGATGCTGGTGATGGTGATGATGTTGTTGAAGATGATGGTGTTGATGTTGCAGCTGATGCGTCTGGTGATGATGGTGATGATGTTGATGATGTTGATGATGTTGATGATGCTGATGATGATGATGATGTTGATGATGTTGTTGATGTTGATGTTGCAGCTGATGCGTCTGGTGATGGTTTTGATGATGATGTTGTTGTTGATGATGATGATGCTGGTGTTGATGTTGCAGCTGATTCGTCTGGTGATGGTTTTGATGATGATGTTGTTGTTGATGATGATGATGATGCTGGTGTTGATGTTGCAGCTGATTCGTCTGGTGATGATGGTGATGGTGTTGATGATGTTGATGGTGATGATGTTGTTGTTGATGTTGATGATGATGCTGATGGTGGTGTTGATGTTGCAGCTGATTCGTCTGGTGATGATGGTGATGGTGTTGATGATGTTGATGGTGATGATGGTGTTGATGATGATGATGATGTTGGTGATGATGATGGTGGTGGTGTTGATGTTGCAGCTGATTCGTCTGGTGATGGTTTTGATGATGATGATGATGTTGTTGTTGATGTCGTTGATGTTGTAGCTGATTCGTCTGGTGATGGTTTTGCTGCCATCAAATTGACGGCTCTGGGACGCCCTCAGTTCCTGGTGAGCTCCTACAGCAGCAGCCTCCTCCACTACTCAACCATCAGCAGCATCATCAGCAGCAGCACCATCATCATCAGCACCATCATCATCATCAGCACCATCATCATCATCAGCACCATCATCATCATCAGCACCATCATCAGCATCAGCACCATCATCATCATCAGCACCATCAGCACCATCATCAGCATCATCAGCACCACCAGCAGCAGCAGCACCACCACCATCATCATCATCATCAGCAGCACCACCATCATCATCAGCACCATCACCATCATCACCACCACCATCATCAGCACTACCATCATCAGCAGCACCGCCATCATCAGCACTACCATCATCATGATCAGCGACACCATCATCAGCAGCACCGCCATCATCAGCACCACCATCACCATCATCACCACCACCATCATCACCACCATCATCATCAGCACCACCATCATCAGCACCACCATCACCATCATCACCATCACCATCATCACCACCACCATCACCATCATCACCACCACCATCATCAGCACCACCACCACCACCATCATCAGCACCACCATCATCAGCACCACCATCACCATCATCACCACCACCATCATCAGCACCACTACCACCATCATCATCAGCGACACCATCACCATCTCGGTCTGTCCCGTGACCTCCTGCCAGCAGAGAGAATGTGACACCGCGCGTGGCCTCAACGTGCACCTAGCCTGGCACAAGCGCCGGTTACGTAACTGTTTTCATGTTGTGCGTGGTGAGCGGTGGTGCAGAGGTTAGTGATGTCACGGCCACCAGCACCTCCCCTAGGTCGACTCGGCCTCAAATTAGTACCTGGTGTGGTGGTGTAGTAAACATCACCATCCTGGGGGAGAGACAAAGGCGGTCGGGCGTGATGGTGGTGGTGGTCACCTGACCCCTCTGTGTGTGTGTAGCCGCAGTGCCAGTAGCCTTCATAGACGCTGCTGCTACTCGCTACTACTAACAGCACTTGCCCCTACAGCCCTGCTAGAGGCTACCTGGGGGAGCTTTGTCTGTGTGTAGTGTGTATAGTACATAGACACTGCTGCTGCTACTCGCTACTACCAACAGCACTTGCCCCTATAGCCCTGCTGGAGGCTACCTGGGGGAGCTTTGTCTGTGTGTGTAGGTGCTGCTACTCGCTACTACCAACAGCACTTGCCCCTACAGCCCTGCTAGATGCTACCTGGGGGAGCTTTGTCTGTGTGTGTAGGTGCTGCTACTCGCTACTACCAACAGCACTTGCCCCTACAGCCCTGCTAGAGGCTACCTGGGGGAGCTTTGTCTGTGTGTGGTGTGTGTAGTACATAGACACTGCTGCTGCTACTACTAACAGCACTTGCCCCTACAGCCCTGCTAGAGGCTACCTGGGGGAGCTTTGTCTGTGTGTGTATCATAGGTGGTGCTACTCGCTATTAGCAGCACTTGCCCCTACAGCCCTGCTAGAGGCTACCTGGGGGAGCTTTGTCTGTGTGAGTATCACATCTGCTGCTACTCGCTACTACTCACAGCACTTGCCCCTACAGCCCTGCTAGAGGCTACCTGGGGGAGCTTTGTCTGTGTGTGTGCATCATAGGTGGTGCTACTCGCTACTACTAACAGCACTTGCCCCTACAGCCCTGCTAGAGGCTACCAGGGGGATCTTTGTGTATGCATCATAGGTACTGCTACTCGCTACTAGCAGCACTTGCCCCTCCAGCCCTGCTAGAGGCTACCTGGGGGAGCTTTGTCTGTGTGTGTGGGAGTGTCTATCCGCGTGTGTCTATTTTCACTTCTCGGTCTGAGTCATTCACCCACCCACCCACCCCACCGCTCGTCATCACAGAAATTAACGCCCGTGGCAAACGCCCTTCAATTGGGCCAATCGGCCAAAGGGGGGCACACGTACTAACACACACACAGACACGCATACACACACACAGACACACACAGACACACACGCACACACACAGACACACACACGCACACAGACACACACACGCAACAACAACAACCGCCATTCGCCACTAAGTGGCGGTGACGTCACCACGACGCTTGTGCCAGGCTATGTGCACCCTGAGGCCACGTGAAGTGTCGAACGCCCGCTGGCAGGAGGTCACGGGGCAGACCCAGCAGGTGCCACGGGTCGACTGACTGAGACGACTGGCTGGTGCACCACCTGTGCCCCCTACTGTGCCAACCTGCTGTGCTTTAGCCACCCGGCGCTCCGCTCGTTGCTCTGAGCGTCGCTCCTCCGCCCTCCGTTGTTGTTGTTGGAGGGCACTGACACACTGCCACACACACACTGACACACACACACACTGACACACACACACTGACACACACACTGACACACACACACTGACACACACACACTGACACACACACACACTGACACACTGCCACACACACTGCCACACACACTGACACACACACACTGACACACACACACTGACACACACACACTGCCACACTGCCACACACACTGACACACACACTGACACACACACACTGACACACACGTACACACACACACTGACACACACTGACACACACTGACACTGACACACACGTAAAACACACACTCGCTCATTTACGTAAACATACTCACACGTAAACATACACACACTCACACTCACGTAAACACACACTCACGTAAACACACACTCACACACTCACGTAAACACACACTCACACACTCACGTAAACTCACACTCACGTAAACTCACACTCACGTAAACACACACTCACACACACTCACGTAAACACACACACTCACGTAAACACACACTCACACACTCACGTAAACACACACACTCACGTAAACACACACTCACACACTCACGTAAACACACACACTCACGTAAACACACACACTCACGTAAACACACTCACTCACGTAAACACACACACACACTCACGTAAACACACACTCACGTAAACACACACTCACGTAAACACACACTCACACACTCACGTAAACACACACACTCACGTAAACACACTCACTCACGTAAACACACACACACTCACGTAAACACACACTCACGTAAACACACACTCACACACTCACGTAAACACACACACTCACGTAAACACACACACTCACGTAAACACACTCACACTCACGTAAACACACTCACGTAAACACACACTCACGTAAACACACACTCACACACTCACGTAAACACACACTCACGTAAACACACACACACACTCACACACTCACGTAAACACACACTCACACACTCACGTAAACACACACTCACGTAAACACACACTCACACACTCACGTAAACACACACTCACACACTCACGTAAACACACACTCACACACTCACGTAAACACACACTCACACACTCACGTAAACACACACTCACACACTCACGTAAACACACACTCACGTAAACGCACACACACTCACACACTCACGTAAACACACACTCACACACTCACGTAAACACACACTCACACACTCACGTAAACACACACTCACACACTCACGTAAACACACACTCACGTAAACACACACTCACACACTCACGTAAACACACACTCACACACTCACGTAAACACACACTCACACACTCACGTAAACACACACTCACACACTTACGTAAATACACACTCACACACTCACGTAAACACACACTCACACACTCACACACGCCCGGCCGCTTTTGTCTCCCTAGTGGCAATGTTTTTTTTACACACCACCCCGCGTACTCATTTGAGGCCGAGTTGACCTAGGGGAGGCCCGGGAACGGTTCAGATTGTCACTGTCACTGGTGTTGGCCGTGAGCAGGAATAGATCTGGGGTGACTCGGGTTCACATCACAGGGCAACGCGTTAACCGCTATGCTAATTCACTCACTCCCACAGTCACAAACATGTCACCCACTCGCCCATCCACCCACCCACTCGCCAATCCACCCACTCCACCCACTCGCACCCACCCACCCATCTACCCATTCACTCCCACAGTCACAAACATGTCACCCACTCGCCCATCCACCCACTCCACCCACTCGCCCATCCACCCACTCCACCCACTCGCACCCACCCACCCATCTACCCATTCACAGCCACCCACCCATCTGCCCACTCACTCGCCCATCCACCCACCCCACCCACTCACACCCACCCACCCATCTACCCATTCACAGCCACCCACCCATCTGCCCACTCACCCCACTCATCCACCCACTCACTCACCCATCCACCTACTAATTCACCTACCCACCCACTCAACCACCCACCTACCCATCCACTCAACCACCCACCTACCCACCCACTCACCCACCCACCCACTCAACCACCCACCTACCCACCCACTCAACCACCCACCTACCCACCCACTCAACCACCCACCTACCCACCCACTCAACCACCCACCTACCCACCCACTCAACCACCCACCTACCCACCCACTCAACCACCCACCTACCCACCCATTCACCCACCCACCTACCCACCCATTCACCCACCTACCCACCCACTCAACCACCCACCTACCCACCCACTCAACCACCCACCTACCCACCCACTCAACCACCCACCTACCCACCCATTCACCCACCCACCTACCCACCCATTCACCCACCCACCTACCCACCCACTCAACCACCCACCCACTCAACCACCCACCTACCCACCCACTCAACCACCCACCTACCCACCCACTCAACCACCCACCTACCCACCCACTCAACCACCCACCCACTCAACCACCCACCTACCCACCCACTCAACCACCCACTCAACCACCCACCTACCCACTCACTCAACCACCCACATACCCACCTACTCGTCCACCTACCTACCCACCCACTCAACCACCCAGATACCCACCCACTCAACCATCCACCTACCCACCCACCCACTCAACTACCCACCTACCTACCCACTCAACCACCCACCTACCCACCCACTCGTCCACCTACCTACCCACCCACCTACCCACCCACTCGTCCGCCTACTCAACCCACCAAACCCCCGCCCACCC